TATATATATATATATATATATATATATCTTAAACAAACATCAATATTGAATACATATATGATAGTAAATCTGTCACAATCTTAAACTAGTGGCCTTTAGCCTAACCCTATTGCCTGTAGCTAATTTCTTAAAACATCACCTGGATTTGTGGATTTCAAGTCTTTAAAAATCTTAGAAACCTCAATCATATTCCATCAAACTTCCACCAAACAAAAATATTTCAGGAGATTTCAGCCTATTATTTTGCAGTAAGCTTGGAATCATCCTAGTAGCTTTAGAATATACATCTTAAACAGCTGGGTGGTTAACTTGATTAATTGAATAGTCAATTACCTAGGAGTATCAATTACATTGATTAATGAGCCCAACAATTAATTATCAAATTCCACTAATCACTCTGTTCTAACTCCTTGTAACATGAAATTCACTTTGTCTTCTCCCTATTGATAAAAACTTTTTCTACCAAAACTTATTTACCATAATGCTAGGTAGATGAAGTAAGTCTTGGTAAACACACTGTGAATGCTTACAGAACCTAATTTAATATTTGTGTTGAGTGCATATATAAATAATAATACAATATTGTTTTCACAAATATATATTATATATATATATAATTTTTTCTTCTTGTGCTTTAGGGAATATACAGATATTCCAGATATAGCCATTGTGAGAGAAATATATGATGGAGAAAATGCTCATGAAGCTTTTGAAAATGAACTAGAAAGGGCACTAGAAGCAGGCTGCTCTACAATACTCATAGAACCTTCCCGACTAGGTGAGGAGACTGCCAGGTGGATAGCTGTTGGAAACTGTCTACATAAAACTGCAGTTCTTGCAGGATTTGGATCAATAGTATCTGCTGTTATGTGGCCTAACAGGTTATACATATCATGCCCACTTGGTGCTGTTAGCTTTTTTACAGCTGGACTTTATACTGTAGCTTGGCAGTTTGACCCTTGTTGCAAGTACCAACTTGAGAAAAACCCAAAAACTTTGTCTAAGCTACCTTTACATACATTAATTTCAGTCAGTCCTGTAGTTCTAGTACGAAGAGATGATACACGAAAAAAAATTCTTCATACAGCAACCACACTTGCAGCTTTGTCCATCTGTGTTTGGAGGTTGTACAAACTGTATAGTCCTAGATTTATTTAATTATTAGGAGTTTAGTTTAAAACAAAAGAAAATGCCTCGTAATGACTACAGTATTGGGCAAAACACTTTAAATTTTAATTTTTAAAGTATTGATCATAGAAATGTTTTTTGTTGTTTTTTTCCTTTCTGGTTTATCTTCCTGACTTGTTTGGAAAAGCCTTATGGGTAATATTGTTGAAACATTATTTGTTTTAATAGTGCTATTGTTCTTCCTTGTTTTTTGTTATTGTTATCATTATCATTTAAAGCAATAAGCATAGTAAGTGGTATTGTGGTGTATTGTTAGAATTGGAAAACAATGAATCTTTTTTATATGTGAGGAGTAATCTTATTAAATGTCCAGGTTCACCAGAACATGGTCAAGTTTATTTAAGTAAGAATATAGATCTTTTACAACTATCATGGTTATTACATTGATAATAAGAAACAAAATCATGTTAGTCAAACTAGAACTCTCTAGAAATAAAAAAATATCGGGATAAAAAAAATATTGACTAAAACTAAGCTTGAAGTAAAATTGAAAAATTTATCTCGAAATATAAATGTAGACTTAAATAAGGCCTTGTTTTTTACAAGTGGTTGCCAAAAAGAAATTCTTTACAAACATATTTTAATAAACTTGAAATTTTTTGTTTTATCAAAATAGTAATGATAGAACAAAAGTACTGAAAGTTTGTACTGTAGTGATTGGCACTAATAGTTGTGCGGAAAGATTTTTTATTAATTAAATGTGTTTAACTGTTAGTATTATTGAACAGGAAATAATTTGTTTTACGGGGCCTGATTCATTACAGTAGGTGTCTGACTTGTTGGTGATAAATGTCAACAATGAATGGACAGCACACAATCCACTTGTTTTAAAATAATGTATTCAAAACAAGTCAAACATTTATTACACTACTGATTATCAGTTTTATCCAGAGCTTTAAATAATTGTCTCCTTTTCATCAAAGTCCACACAGGTGGTTTCAATTACTTTAAGAACACCCTTTGACAATACAAATTCTTCTTCTTTATTTCTGTTGTTACAATATCACTATGAAACCCACTTTAGATATTGCCTGTTATGGCTAAACTTACAATCATGCAGTCTAACTTCACCTTCACTGAGTTTCTTTAACTTCTTACTTGTACTCTGCATGTATTTATAACATACAACCAAAAAGTTTAGAAATACCTAGTCCTCTAGTGACAACAATATTCACATAATGAGAAAAACTTACAAACTTTGAGTAACATAACATAATAACATAATATTTTGGGACAACACGGGACCTATTGGTCTATCTCGGGTGTTCCATCCTCAAAACTAAATTAAAATGATTAAAAAAAATAAATTTACACCCAGCCCTTTT